AGGTCAGAAGTGTGAATTCCAAGATGCCTATGTTCTATTGAGTGAAAAGAAAATTTCTAGTGTCCAGTCTATTGTACCTGCTCTTGAAATTGCCAATGCCCACCGTAAGCCTTTGGTCATAATTGCTGAAGATGTTGATGGAGAAGCTCTAAGTACACTTGTTTTGAACAGGTAATAGATAGTGATAATTCGTTTACATTTCTAGATGAAAGGCAATTACTTACATTGATGTTTGAAATCTCCGTTATGTACTACCACCCACTTGTGTTTGTATCTAGAGTTGTGATGTATAATACTAGGTGTGCTTCATGAACCCTTAGTTCAGTTATAATGGTTCTTTTGAATGGTGCTCCAAAGTCCTTGGTATTTTGTGCAATTTTCTCATAACATAGCCTAATTTTATATATGATGTCTTTCTATTTTTTTATAAGTGTTTGCAGTTGTTTTAAAGGTAAAGGACTTTTTTAAAAAAATTTTTCTGGAAAAAATATATTCACGATTATAATTTTGCTTAGGAAGAGATAAGTAAACAATAGCCATTCTAAAAACTTCAAATCTAAGTGTGTTCAGCAGTCAGAATTTTACATAATCTGGTAAAAGAAAATTTTAATTAACGAATAGTTTGAAACAAATTGGCTCTCAACCTAAAATAAGTTGAGGTCTGTTCAGTGCATTTTTTAAATCTATAGTTTAAGGTATTACTTTTGACTCTAAGACTGGTAAAATGCTGTAAACAGAATCTTAAGGCATTATTAAAATACACATTCCTCCTAATCTTAGAATTGAAGTATATCAGAAGTGAGATTTTCCAATTTTATTATAATGGAAATGAACAAATAAAATAGCAGGTATGTGAATGTATTAGAGATTGCATACCTAGGCCTGACCCAGAAGCGCTAACTTTACTTATCCTGAAATGTTTGTTAGATTGAATTTGCTTTTAGGATTATATAAAAGCTTTAAGAGATTGTGAAATAAATAAAAAAACAATAGGCCTACAGAGTATTCATTGAGCCATTTTACTGGTAGCTAAAAAGTTGGCTATATGGTTTACTTGGCATAGCATCAGAGCTTATCCCTTCAGTTTTTGTCTCCTTGATAAAACATTAGCTCTGTATTGAAGTTTGTATATTCCCTTTGTTTCACAATCTTGTCTCAAGTGGACATTTCTTTGATTGTATATTCCAAGTATTTGTTACCTGCTCAAACTGCAG